TTATGTCCAGAATGAAAGAAAAATGTGTCGATACCATTTAAAAAAGTGTCGATTGAAAAAACATCGGAACCTAGATTTATAATGTAATAGATAATTTTGTAATATAACCGGTATAAATATACCGGTTTTATGAGCGAATAGGTCTACAACCTATATCGACACTTTCTAATATTGTGTCGGTACTTTATGTCCAGATTGGAAGAAAAATGTGTCGATACCATTTAAAAAAGTGTCGACATTTACACATCGGAACCCATATTTATAATGTAATAGATAATTTTGTAATATAACCGGTATAAAAATACCGGTTTTATGAGCGAATAGGTCTACAACCTTTATCGACACTTTCTAATATTGTGTCGGTACTTTATGTTCAGATTGGAAGAAAAATGTGTCGATACCATTTAAAAAAGTGTCGACATTTACACATCGGAACCCAGATTTATAATGTAATAGATAATTTTGTAATATAACCGGTATAAAAATACCGGTTTTATGAGCGAATAGGTCTACAACCTTTATCGACACTTTCTAATATTGTGTCGGTACTTTATGTTCAGATTGGAAGAAAAATGTGTCGATACCATTTAAAAAAGTGTCGACATTTACACATCGGAACCCAGATTTATAATGTAATAGATAATTTTGTAATATAACCGGTATAAAAATGTGTCGATACCTTTTTATAAAAGTGTCGATACTTTTTTCACTGTGGAAAACATTAATTTAAGGTTATCTTTTGAGTGAGTTTTAAGATATTAATTTAGTAATTATAGGCGTCTAATGATTAATTTTTTACGTTACGGTATATATTATTATTAAATTAAAAATTCTTAATATTATTTTATAAAATATAAAAACACTCAACTAATTTTTTGTGCAAATGAAATTATTAAATTAATATTGTAGGTGGAAAACATGAAACATACTTAAAAAATATTGAAACATAAATTACATATCTTTAAAAAAAAGTATCGATCCTTTTTATAAAAAGTATGGACACTTTCAACATATTATAATAAAATAGGTCCATATTGGAAGAAAAATGTGTCAATACGATTTAAAAAAGTGTCGACATTTTACACATCGGAACCCATAATTATAATGTAATAGATAATTTTGTAATATAACCGGTATAAATATACTGGTTTTATGAGAGAATAGGTCTACAACCTATATCGACACTTTATAATGTTGTGTCGGTACTTTATGTCCAGATTGGAATAAAAATATGTCGATACCATTTAAAAAAGTGTCGGTAATTTGAAGTAACGCGGTTTTTCTTCCTTCATTCAAAATATTTATATGTACATACAATAGGAGTGATGTTGATACTTACGATATATTATATGGAGATCGTTGTCATTCCATTCCGTCTTCGAAAAAATCAGTTGATGTAGGCTGTGTGCTTGTCCTCAAACTAAGCTTGACTTGAGGACATGTTAGTTTGTTATGCCCCTCACCGTTGCAGTACCCACATCGCCTAATTTTCTTCTCGACATTGTTCTTCGGCACTTCTTTTCGCTTGCGTTGTTTTCGTTGAGGGTCACGAACATTGTTTACTACAATGCTCTGGTTGACTGAATGATTCAAACCAAACGAGTTTTCTAATTCTTCTATTAGTTTTTTCATCTCATCTCTTGCGGTTTTGAAAGACTCGTCTGTCTTTGATGCAATGTAGCATAACCTACTTGACGTTGAACGTAGAGCAGCGAACCTTGCCATTTGCATCACTTCTGGAGACACATTCAAATCAACATAGCTGGGTGCAGAAGCCTTCGCATCATTAGTCCACCTACTTTGAATCAAACTCCCGGGCAAATATGTGTAGTCCAATTGCTTCAAAATGTGAAGTTGATGGCGACACGGAAGTCCAACGGTCTCGAATTTTTTGCAGGAGCAAATTAGAGTTTTCGTACGAGAATCAAAACTAATTTCAAATTTCCTATTTTTTTCTGCGTACTTTGACAAAATATAATGTTGACATTCATCTGATAAGGACTTAATCTCTGCCTCAATCCGGTACAATGTCTCCCGTATAAGTTCATCTTGGAACACACGAAAAGATTCGCGGGTAAAAATCGCAGCGGCATGGCTTTCAAGGTCGACCAGTTTTGTGATCTGGAAGGGCTTCGTATGGGAACTTAAGTAATCCGCTTTCAACTCGTTCATACGCATTCTACTAATTCCATCTTCAATTGCACGAACAACATCTAAATATGTCTTCTTGTGTTTCAGTGCAATAGCTAGTGAAGCATTCATAGACTCGCACCTTTGTGTTGAGCGAATATTGGCAAAGAAATGACCGGTTAGATATGCTTGTGCCCATAAGTGTCGTGTATTTCCCTTCTCAATCACCCATGGATGCTTTTGGACGTTGAATTCTGAAACAATCGAACGCCATTGAATATCAAATTCCTTGGTTGTCCACCAGGAAGCCATGCATTTTGAGAATGCTGCTGTAAACTTTGGGTCACCAATGTTAGCTTGTGCATTGCGAGAAAGATGCCAAGAACATAATCTGTGCTTAGCATAAGGGATAACAGATTTGATAGCCCTCTGCATTGCCCTATCCCCATCGGTTACAACAGAAATAGGTGATTTATTCATCATGGCTTCTAAAAAATTCTGTAGCACCCACTCGAAAGATTGAGACGTTTCGTCAGCGATTATGGCAGTGGCAAACACAATTGTGTTATGGTGATGATTGACACCAACAATAGGCATAATTGGTCGACCATACAAATTATCTTTGTACGTTGTGTCGAACGCAATTACATCACCGAAGCATGTGTAATCCGATCTCGATGTAGAATCCGACCAAATAAGATTATACAATGCCCCCGATTCGTCTACCGAGTATGTCATAAAAAACCCGGGATCATCATGTTTCTTATAATCAAAGTAGGCAATAAGCGCATTCACATCCCCATCGACGATTTCCTTTGCTTTACCTCTTTGAAGTGCATTGTAGAGGTCTTTATGTGTAAATCCAACATTATGATAGCCCCCTGCCTGCTGCGTTAAATAGTTCATTACTTGTGACGTGCCAACACCGACCTCTTTCAATGTTGTTGCCTCATCGATATCAGCCTTACTTACAGCTCGATTAGAACGCATAAATGGTGTCATAGCAGATGTGCACAATGCATGATTATGTTTCTGATCAGACTTACTTATAACCCACTGATCGTTTGTATTTGTTGCTGTAACTACGACTCTAGCCTTACATCCTGTTCTTGTGACTGGCGTATGAGCACGTTGACGATCAACAGTATTGACTTTTGATACTCGAAACCCTTCTTTGGAACAACAAAATTCTTGTGTCTTCACATTCCCTTCCACGTCAAGCCGTGTTGTTCCCTTACGTGCACTAAACCCATGTTCCCGTGCGAATCCCTTGTAAAAGTGCCAAGCTTGATCACGTGAACAGAAGAGCTGACCAACCAATCTGTCAGATTCATCAACATTATGTACTTCATGGCATTCCTCGGTTGGCTTAACATTGTCTACATCAGTATTATCCATGGCAAAAATTTTGTTGTGCAAGTTCAGTGCTCCAGGAGTTGATGGATATGTAAACGAAGGTTCATTTTGAACATGTTTCTGTCGTGCTGCTTTCAATAGGATGTGGCATTGGTAGTGGTAGTTAAAGGGTGGGTACAACATTAAATTCGCAGTACATATTTAGGTATGTACAATAACTACAAGTATATTATCATTTTAAATTCGCAGTACACTGTTAAAAAAATTGAAACATAAATTACATAAGTTTTAAAAAAAGTATCGATCCTTTTTATAAAAAGTATGGACACTTTCAATATAATAGGTAAACATATGATGTAATAGGTACCCCTTATATAATGTAATAGGTATCGTTTATATAATGTAATAGGTAGTGGTTATATTGTAAAGTGTCTATCCTTTTTATAAAAGTGTCCATACTTTTTTCACTGTGGAAAACATTAATTTAAGGTTATCCTTTGAGTGAGTTTTAAGATATTAATTTAGTAATTATAGGCGTCTAATGATTTATTTCTTACGTTACGATATATATTATTATTAAATTAAAAATTCTAAATAATATTTTATAAAATATAAAAACAATCAAATAATTTTTTGTGCAAATGAAATTATTAAATCAATATTGTAGGTGGAAAACATGAAACACTGTTAAAAAAATTGAAACATGAATTACATAAGTTTTAAAAAAAGTATCGATCATTTTTATAAAAAGTATGGACACTTTCAATATAATAGGTAAACATATGATGTAATAGGTAACCCTTATATAATGTAATAGGTATCGTTTATATAATGTAATAGGTAGTGGTTATATTGTAAAGTGTCTATCCTTTTTATAAAAGTGTCCATACTTTTTTCACTGTGGAAAACATTAATTTAAGGTTATCTTTTGAGTGAGTTTTAAGATATTAATTTAGTAATTATAGGCGTCTAATGATTTATTTTTTACGTTACGATATATATTATTATTAAATTAAAAATTCTAAATATTATTTTATAAAATATCAAAACAATCAAATAATTTTTTGTGCAAATGAAATTATTAAATTAATATTGTAGGTGGAAAATATGAAACACTGTTAAAGTATCAATCCTTTTTATAAAAAGTATGGACACTTTCAATATAATATAATGTAATAGGTAAATTTGCAATGCTATCGGTATAAATATACCGGTTTACTTATAAAATAGGTAAATATAAGCGCTACCTATTACATTATATAAGCGCTACCTAGTATGTTATTGTACTTTATAATATTTCCGGTTAAATAATATAACATAACCGGTCTAAATTTTAACCGGTCACTTGTTTAACCGGTCACGCCGTATATTAACCGTTTTTTAGGCGCCGCACCACAGAACCACCCTATCATTGTGTTCCAGGAGAAAACGAGATCTCTATATTTCATTTTCATTTTCATTTTTAATATATATATATATATATATATATATATATATTAAATACATCTTAATAGAGGAGTATCTCCGCTTTGTTCATCTGTGGCTATAACACCAAAAAGAACTGCAAACCCTAGTCTTGATCTTTTGTCTCATACAGAAACAAAAGTTGTAGATCTGAGCCCAGGTTTGTGGATTCTTTTTTCTCCTTTATAATTATTATTCAGATTTATTTTATATTATTTTTAAACTTGTTAATTAACTTCATAATTTTTATTCTGAACAAAGTCTGGTCGATTTTGTTTATAATCTCAAAATGCTCCAGTTTGGGTTTAAAAAAGTTATCTAGGTTTTAGATAGCATTGTTATCATAAAATAGCAGCCTTCAATGAAATTCCTTTAAAATCTTTGCTGTTTCTGATTTTTGGAATGATGATTTCTCTTCAAGATTTTGATCAAATTATTCGTCTTTGTTGCAGCTGTTTAGATTTTGTTTTGTACGGGGACAAATAAAGACAGTGGATCGTGTACAGAGTTATTAGTGTCTTGTTTTTTTTAATGTGAGGTTGAATTTTTTCTTTTCTGATTGTACGAGAGTCAAAAAGAAAGTAATGTTGTTTTGAGGAGGACCGTGGATTTTGCTACTTCAGTGTGAGAAAAGAAAGAGGGATGCAAGATTTGTTGACATTTGATTACATATGTTACGACGTATTGGGTGGTTAATTGGGTGGAATAATAGAGTTGAACAAGTGAAGAAGTTACCTGATGCAAAACCGCTACCGGCTCAAGTACAGCCGGCTGTCATGTTGGACACTGTCCAAGAGATTGCAGTTTACATCCATAGGTTTCATAACCTTGATCTTTTCCAGCAAGGGTATTGCGATTTTTTGTATTTTCAGTTTAATTTGAATTGTGCATATCATCCTTATGTTTTGTGTTTGTTTAGATGGTATCGACTTAAAATTACTATGAGATGGGAAAATGAACTGTATACTTCTATGGGAGCACCTTCAAGAGTCATGCAATATGAAGGTAATTAGTATAACTTTTAGTGCCTTTTTTCTTTCTAATGTTTGTTATCCTTTTGCCTCCACACTGTTGTAGGAAAAACTATTTCATTATTCTTAAGGTTAGAAAGTTTCTATTTGTGATTCTAGTAACATTGCACATGTTGATACATTCTGACATTTTGTATTTAAAGTGGTCGCTCTAGAGACCCAATCAGGAACCTTGCTGTGTGCTCAATTGGGAAGTCGCACTGCATGATAGCAGAATGTGCATTGTTGTCCAATTATTTGATCAAAATATTTTTGATGCGGTTGAAGCAAATACATTTGATGTCTGTTATATGCTTAATTAAAACTTAACCATTTGTCTTTGCCTTCAGATAGCATTTTTTTTCCTTAATAAGACTACAAATATGTTGCAGCTCCAAATGTTAGTTCTGATGATGTATATGGAGTGTGGAGGATCGATGATAGCGACAACAGTTTTTCAACAAGGCCTTTTCGAATAAAATATGCCAAACAGGATGTTCTTCTATCTATCTTGGTTGCATTTAGTCTACCCCTTACTGTCAATGAGGTAGACAATCTCTACTTTTATCTCTTTGCATATATACTCTATTTGCACCCAACACACTTTTTACTGTGGAGAGAACAACATACATTTCCAGAATTACACAGCTGTAATCCTGCAACCTGCCTGTACCACCGATTCACATATTTTCATTAGTAAATATTTGACTTAATGTTAGTGCGTTAGAGGTTTGATGCTTTGCTCTTTTGGTGTTAAAAGATGGCAAAATCTGTACCCCCAACCACATCTTAAAGAAAAGTGACATTGGATTTTCCTGAAAGTTATGACTTTCTCAAGTTTTCTGTTCATTTTCTTTTCATATTCACAGAGGAAAGGCGTAGATTCTTTCCTACATTGATTGGCCTGGCTATTGCTGAGCCATGAAAGGTCAATTATATAATTTTATATCCTATTATGGTGCTGATGAGGTAATATCTAACAGGGTCCTTTCTCATCGGCTGTCATTTTGAAGTTTGAGCTTCTCTATTCTCCTGTAATGGAGAAAGGGTAAGTTGATAAGTTATCTTTTCATATGACTTCATGATTTAAATTTAAAGTTGCACTTGTATTATTTGTGTGTAGATATTTGCATTTGTGCTTAATTTCTTTCTTTTCTTTTTTCAAGTTAAAAGTGCTCATAAATGTCTGAAAAGCACTGCATTCAGTTCTGAGTTTCAGGCTTCTTCAGATGGTAACCCTGCTGCTGTCCATGAATTTCGGATCCCTCCTAAAGCTCTTTTAGGACTACATTCCTATTGCCCTGTTTATTTTGATTCATTCCATGCTGTTCTTGTGGATGTAAGTGTTCACACCTGTCTTCTAAAAGTTGGTTCTCACAAGGGTGCAAAGAAAATACCCAGGTTTGTCACAGATTCTAGAAAAAGCATTGCTAACTTTGCATGAAACATTCCTTTCATCACCCCTTTTGAATGTTCTTTTGGGGTAGGAGTGATTCTTGGTGGAAATGAAATAGAAAGGGAGGGGTTATTTTGTTTATAAAGTAAATTATGTTATGTAGATATGTTGTAGTAACTTGAACTGTTGAATTATGTCTGGGTTTCTTACAGTGCCCCTGGTGCCATTGCTGGTGGAACTATCTATGGATCTAGTCAGGTTTGTTCCAAACATTGGATATTAATAAGTAGTAACATATCTATAATGACTTAGTCTATTCATTTATGTGGTGGAAATTGTGGGTGTAACACAGTGAGTGGAATTTATGGAAATTATGAGGCTCTATCATCTATGATATGTTAAAGTTTGATATAGCTGGTTTATTTTTAATTCTAAGTTTAAATGTTTGATAAAGGTGTTTTATTGGTTGGGGTTTATAATCATTAGAATTTTCTGATGATTTACTTGAGCAATAGTGTAAATTCATCTTATGATTTTATTGTAGTTTATTATCCTTGATATACAGTATTCTATGCACTGACAGTTCCTTTTACATTATTCACCAGGCACTAGAACGAATGGCATCTATTGACTTGAAACATACCACGCTTGTTAAGGCATTATTAGATGCTCGTGACACGCTACTTGCAGAGCTAAAAAGAATTGGCGATGACATTAACAAAGGGATTGATTTAACTGACTTTACATCCACAATGGATGACACAAAGCTATCTGGTTCTATTCTGCATGCAAATCTGGGTCATGCTGAAGTTTCCGGACAAGGCAAGCCACAAAATGGTCTTGAGGTCCTTGCTTTATTTTAACCTGCAACATACACTTCCTTATTCATTTGTCCTTTTTTTGTGATTTTATAGATTTTATTATTTACTGAAATTATAATACCTGTCACTCTCTAACAGGGAGTCAATAGCAATTTAGATGTTCAATTGCTCCAGAACTTATCCAAGGATGATATAATTAAAATGTTTAATCTGTGGGGTGAACAAGTGTCATATTTGTGGAGCACGTTTCTGAATTTCCACAGGTCAGTTTATACATTTTCACTTGCAGTTCTTGTAAGAATACGTAGTGTATTGAGGTGTGTTTAAACTCAAAAGTATTTTCTTGCAGATAATCTAGTAGAACAAGTTCATATTCTTTATTTATCTTCAAATATTTACTTGGACCTCCTAATATTAACCGTTTCCTAACTACTAATCAACAGGAAAAAATGAGTTGATCCTTTTATCCATTTAATGTAGCTTTCGTCATTTCTGTGCTTGAGGTGTTAAAATTGCATTTTATTCCAGGGATAACAGAACACAGATATTGCAATTCCTTTTTGATGCATGGGCTAAGGATCGAAGAGCTGAATGGTCAATATGGATGGTTTATACCAATGTTGAAATGCCTCATCATTCTATAAATGGTGGTTTTGACGAGCCTTCCCATCATCTTGTGCATAAGAGAGGTCCAAGTTTGTTGAAGTTAACCGATGATGTAAATACTTTTTTTACATTATTGTTGTATGGATATATTGCTGTTGGCTTCAGTATTCAGTTATCAGAGACAATAGTTCTTTCACTTAGTTTCTAATTTGAAATTTTCATCTTGTGCAATGCAGCCTGCAGAGTTAGCAACTATGCGGGCTGAGCTTCATCGGCGAAGTATTGGACAAATGAGGGTATTTTTGTGTTTATGCATTGTCTTTATTTCTGTTTACTTTAGTTTACCGACACAATTGTTTGCTCACAGATTAACAATCGATCGATCCAAGACATGCAATTATTTGGAGATCCTTCAGGAGTTCCTATTGTAATTATGGAACGTGTAATAACTACACCTCGTCGTTCTATCAGTGATAACTCATACTTGAGGAATTTAGATGTAATGAATTTAGCTACCACAAGCACTTTTCCTGAAGCCGGAAAGAACCAATCAAGTACAAGTGCTGGAGAGAGTGGGCATGACTTGAAGATTGTTGTCTTTGTGCATGGTTTTCAGGCAAGTTTTGGTTTCCCACACTTCTTTCTTTGGTTGTAGTTTTGTTGCCTTAATTTGATGTGAATTATTTGACCTGGAGTATCTTTTAGTAAGCAACACCTGAAGTAATTTTTTTGCACCTCAAGGGAAAATATGATTTCTAATCCTGACTTGAATATATAGGGTCATCATCTGGATTTGCGACTTGTTAGGAATCAATGGCTTTTGATAGATTCCAAGATTCATTTTCTTATGTCAGAGGCAAATGAAGAGAAAACATCGGGAGATTTCAGAGATATGGGACTAAGGCTTGCACACGAAGTGATTGCTTATGTTAAAAAGAAAATGGATAAAGCTTCAAGAAATGGAAACTTACGAGATATCAGACTTAGTTTTGTCGGACACTCTATTGGAAACATTATAATAAGAACAGCATTAGCAGGTAGTTGTTATTGTCTAAAGCTTCTTCGGCATTTTTATTAATTTTGAAATTCCTACTTGATATGTGCTTTTGTATGCAGAGACTATCATGGAACCTTACCTTAGGTTCCTCCATACATACGTATCTGTGTCTGGGCCACACTTGGGATATCTATACAGTTCAAATTCTTTGTTTAATTCCGGGCTGTGGCTTCTGAAGAAGCTCAAGGGGTCACAGTGCATTCATCAACTAACTTTCACAGATGACCCAGATATCCGTAACACTTTTTTCTTCAAACTTTCTAAGGTATTGTGAACGAATTTGCAGTGAGGTTTGCATTTGCTGCCATTATTCCTTCCATTACTTACTATTGTTTTGATTTACCATTTATGCTGAAGACATGTCAGAAATATGTAATTGTTTTTATGCTCTGAATTTCTGAAAGTCTATTTTCTTCTATCAGCAAAAAACTCTGGATAGTTTCAAGAATATAATCCTCCTTTCGTCACCCCAGGTATTTGGCGTCTCTTTGAATTCTTACCGTGTTGAGCAGTTTGGCCTTAAAGTTTTGAGTGATAATGCAGTAACTGTATCATTTAAATGTTTTCCCTTCAACTCCTAAGGTCATTAACAGATGACATGCCTCGCAGGATGGTTATGTCCCGTATCATTCTGCCAGAATTGAGTCATGCAGGGCAGCATCATCCGACTACTCCAGAAAGGGAAAAGCTTTTTTGGAAATGTTGAATGAATGCTTAGACCAGATACGTGCACCTACCTCTGAGAATCGGGTGTTTATCCGTTGTGATGTCAACTTTGACACATCCATGTATGGAAAAAACTTAAATACTTTCATTGGACGAGCTGCTCATATAGAGTTTTTGGAGTCGGATATTTTTGCTCGCTTCATAATGTGGTCATTTCCAGAACTATTTCAATAAACATATTACAGGAGTCCGACTTTTATTGATCCGCCTTCTCAAGCCTGGTATCCAGATCAGTCGCTATTTGCGGAGCCTGCAATCAATGTTTCAAGTGTCCAAGCATCACAAATGAGCAAAATTTGCAGGAGGGACAGGTGCGTTGACCGATTGTAGCCCCTGTAAAGTAGCATTGTTGAAGATGCTTCTGTGGAAAGGTTGTATCTTTGATCTAGAACAGTCCTTTTCCACTACCACGGAGTTTTGTTGGCATCAAAAATGCTGAGTTTAGAATGTGGAAGCTCTTTACAGTAGATATTGTTTAGAAAAAAACTAGCAATGTAGAAGAAAAATCGAATAGGCTAGTTTGTTGTTTGGGGTTGTAGTGAATGACCAAGTACTTTCCGATATTGGGGAATGATCATGTTTATGTACGTAAGCATGCAGACGAAGCATTCAGCAGACAGTTGATTTTAGCTTCTCAATATATCGTTTCATGTTTTTGGCTATATGGTATGCGATGAAATAATTGCAATTGTTTTATATTTGTGGAATGGAATGGAGTTCAAAAGTCATCAATTCAACATGAAATAAGCCAAAAGACACATGACGACGAGTTAAATTCACTGTATCAAATTATTACGGGTTTCAATCTTAAAATATTATGATTTTATTTCACTAGTTATAGTCATACGCCGGCATGTCTCTTTACTTACAATTTAGGGTCTGTTCGGAAAGTCAAAAATTTGTCTGAAACAATTTATCTCTTTAATTATTGAAGTCGTTTGATTCGTGTGTGTATAGAGAGATTTTTTTTCCTGTTTTACTGTTTAACCTTTCTTTATTTCCTTTGAAAGATCTTGTTTTTCACCTTTAGTAACTTCTAATCATATATATATATATATATATATATATAAATAAGGTTATTTTTTTATTAATATAAGGGTGATTATAAGGTAGTATATGTTTGAAATATTTTTAATTCATTTGACAATAAATACTCAAACACTCCTAAGATATCATGTGCTCGAACCCGAGATTTTTAAAGACAACAACTATCTTTTTTATCATTGAGATAATTTAATTCGTACAATAAAAGATAAAATTACTACCTTAACATGGGAATAGAAAAACGTAAAAACAAATAATACAGAATCATCTATTTCCATCAACTTTATTTCTCTCAAAACTTGTAATACCTTAACTTAAATAATGAATAATTAGAGGGCTATAATCTTCTTACCTTCAATATCGGTTTCTTCTCTAATAAGCTTTTTTCTAATTTTGCTTGAAATCTCCAAACTCGAAGAAAATAGAGACTAAGTTTTTCAAGTAAAAAGAGAAGATGACAGCGCTCGTCTTTTTGGCTGTTGACTTATATAATTTAAAGATAAAACCCCTTAAACTATAATTCTCATATAAAACAAAATTCACATTTTCATCTCAACACTTCATCCTTACCTTTCTTTCCAATCGGTCCACTTAGATTCAAAAATTACTACTCTCTCTCCCATTAAATCTATCCATTGTTGATTTTTTTAATCAATTTTTTAAATTTTGATATATTATTATTTCAAATTTATTATTGATAAGAATATGAAAAAATATATTTTAAAAATCTTAAATCAAAATGTTTTTAAATACATATTTTATAAATTTTAATTTTTTAAAATATTTAAGATAATTATGGTCAAAATTTAAAATTTTTGACTTATTAAAAATTAATAATAAACACATTTAGTATGACGAAAGTATAAAAAATCCTATACGAAACAATAATCTTCCATCGGTTCAAATTTAGCACTTTATGGAAAATTAACATTTTGCCTCCAATTCTTTGGAACTTTTACAAATTAGTCCGACACTTCCTCATTAAGAGCATACATCATACTTCATTCATCCAAATCTTATCAAGACCATAATCGAGATTAAAATATCAAATTTAAACTGTACACCTTTACGAGTAATACTGAGAAATTTGAAACTTAAACCAGATTGTTTCTACAATAGTTCCCTGTAAAATGGAAATAAAGGCCATAATTGAATGAGAAAATTATTCAGAATGATGGAAACTAAAATGTAATTAATGGCATCCTATACTTGGACCACCTCGCATGAGTAGCCTTTGCAAAGACGATGTTATCAATTTGTATTACCGTTTCAAACTGATGAGCAGCTTGAATATGAATATAGGGACCTGAAGTGTTATTAGACCAGAAAATTAGTCGATGACATTGACAGGCCAGCACATGCAAAAGGAAATCGACAACAATACGAAATACAAGCCGTAAGAAATTAAGAATCATTTTTGTAATTTACCCTATATTTTAATTAAGTGTTGGATCCGAATTAAAAAGCTCGCAAGTCATATGATTGGTGTTATGATGCAGTAAAATATGAAAGTACAACTCAAAATACGCATTTGCTGAGTAAATAAAAGACAAGCTGGAAGTGGAAGACGATGAGTACCCTCTCCTCAATAACATCAAAAATGATTTTCCATCTCTCCCCTCTCCCTTAATCATCCTATTATTTATTTATTTTTTTTAAATTTCTGTCAACTAATCGGATGGCTTCGATCCGTCGATCTCAGTCGCCGGCATTTCACAGCCGTTCGATTCAGAATGGCGCTGGCGGATTCTCCTCTTCTCCGTCTACCAAGCCTTTCCGTATCGGAGACACTAAATATTTCCCCTCTTCCTCTTCCTCCACTCCGTCAACGCTGTTGCTCACCGCCGTCGATTTAATTTACCGCCGAGGATGGCGTCGATCTTTTTGCCGCTGTCTCTTATTTTTTCTAGTGGGCTTGCTTGTAGGTATTTCTCAGTTGGGACACATGGATACCGATATCCGAGCCGAGGATTTAGCTCCTCCCGACCTCAGACCGCCAGATGTTGACCCCCAATTGGAGGATCCGATTGTTTCTTACGTCGCATTAGGCGTTAATACGCGATTGGAAGAACAAAAGGAAGCTGCCGGTTCAATAGAGCCGTTAAAGCAGTTAATTGTTGTCACGCCGACTTATAATCGGGCATTCCAAGCGTACTTCTTGAACAGGTTAGGCCAAGTTTTGAGGCTAGTGAAGCCGCCGTTGGTTTGGATAGTTGTGGAGGAGAAAACGGTGTCGTTGGAGACGGCCGAGATTTTGAGAAAAACCGGGGTTATGTACCGGCACGTGGTGTCCACGCACAATTCTAGTAACGTGAAGGACCGAGGGGTTCGTCAAAGGAATGCCGCTTTGGATCATATCGAACGGCAAAAGCTTGACGGCATCGTGTTTTTCGCCGACGACGACAATGTCTACACCATCGAGTTGTTTGAAAGCTTGAGAACTATCAGGTAATTTTGGAACTTTTTATTTTTGCTGGAATCTTGCTTTTTAGGAGAGTCGACGAGGCTTACAAATTTGGGTAAAAGTCGTCGTAATTAATGTTGGGAAGTTAATGGTTCTTAAATTGTTCTTATTAACATTCTGTTTTGATGGCAAGCAGTTAGAGATTTTGGTTTAGTAGTCGATGATTGACTATCTGAAAATTTATTGCCATTACCAAATAATAGAACTTCTTGTTTGTGGATTAAATCAGCCTGTTTAGCTCTTTGCTATTTGAGTAGCTGGATCTAGTTTCATTTGTTCAAGCTTTTCCTTCGTCTTCTGTTTTGTTGTAATCTTGATCTATGTTGCCCGGACTCTATTTTTCTCAAAGTAATCTTATCAGACTCGTGTTCGGATATAGGTAAAGTGTAATGATCCTCTCATTACATGAAAACTTTAAAAAGAAATGAGTTTGCCTCTGTCGGACTTGGTTAATTGACTTCAAACTTTTAGCTGCTATTTAGAAGTTTCCCTTTTCAAAAGGCTAATGAAGATCTTAATAACTATTTTGCTTAATGCCTAGCTTGGATTGATATGACTTGTCATTTGTTGAATTTTCTAGATTGGATTTTAAGTTCGTCTTGTTCATCTGTATGTTATAGATTGAGAGATCTCTCCGATTGTGCAATTGTAAAGAGATTACTATGAAATGCTTCTTCTTTTCCAAATCATGCCAACATACACAATTTCATAATATGCATCTTCTTTTGGTGTAGCCGTTTTGGAACTTGGCCAGTTGCCATGCTTGAACGAAGCAAAAACAAGGCAATTCTGGAAGGTCCGGTATGCAATGCGAGTCAAGTAATTGGATGGAACACAAATGAGAAAAGCAAAAGACTCCGTAGGTTCCATGTTGATATGTCAGGATTTGCTTTCAACAGCACCATCTTGTGGGATCCAAAGCGATGGGGGTACCCCTTCTCAAACCCAATTCGACAATTGGACATGGTGAAGGAGGGTTTCCAAGTATGAACCATACCATATTGCATTTTGTACTATTTCATTGATGTTGATGTATATTCTCTCTGAAAAGGTCACAGGCTCACAGCTTGATTCTAGCCTTTGCTCACTATTTCTTCTTCTATGCAGGAAACGACATTTATTGCTCAAGTAGTGGAAGATGAAAGCCAAATGGAAGGTATACCACCTGGTTGTTCAAGGATTGTGAACTGGCATCTCCATTTAGATACCGGCAATCTTGTTTATCCCAAAGGCTGGCAACTTCAGAAGAACCTGGAAGTTACCTTGCCTATCAAGTGATGAAAGCTCAGCTCCACAATTTTTTAATGCTGAGGGGATAAACAGGTAAGAGATTCATTTCTGGATTTCCTTTGTAGTAAATTTTACTTTTGTTATCAGAACTATTGGCCTGCCTGAGAATTAGGGATAAGAACTGATGACTGCGAAACAGCTCAAGACAATTGTGTATAATTTGCTTTTAATTTTAGTACAGATACCTAAATAATGTATTATGCTGAAGAGTTTCTGATTGAGAGCCATTTTTCTGTAACAGTTGGGCCCATGTTATGCATGTTGATTCTTTAGTTCAACTTATTCCTAGCCGATTTGCAGCAATGATCACCATATAGTAGAGCCATGTGCCTGTACAGTTATTCATCCGGCAACTACCAGGAGACAAGATTTGTGATTTTTCTTGTTCATAGAATTCTGTAACATGGAATATTCTTACAGAACATCTCTGGTATTTCTTTTGGGGAAATCTCCATTTACGAAAATGGGCAGTGGATTTGTTTGTGGATCCATGGTCCTTACACCATGCATGTAAGTCAATGTTCTTTCAATGTTTTCTCCCACCCTTCAGAATTGGGATAGTTAAGGGTAACAAGTTTGACAGGTTCTAATTTTACTGTTTTATTCTGCTGCTCTCTTTTATATATTATTTTGGTCAATTTTTGTTTTCACTACTATTTAACCTATTAGCTGTTCTAATTCTAACCGAGTACTGTAAAAATTCATTATGGTGGCGCAAACCAAATTATATATTAACCGAAATTTACACCAATAACATTTACAGATGTCGTCATAAATTAACATCAGTAGCAATTACAGAAACAATACAATAAGGCACAACATAAACAAAAAATAAAGACAGGCAGCAGAGCCGCTCCATTAGTGAACAAAAGTATGTGGGTGCAGATCAAGTAAGCAGCTTGCCTCGACTAGATAGAATCGTACAACGAATTGATCCGCATCATGATTGCTCCGGTTGACGGATCACATTGGGAGAGCCGCCCTCGACGATAACACTAGAAAATCCATGCGAACCCCGTGACAAATGGCGTGAGCTTCAATTTCGAATTGCATCTAACTATTGATATCTCGTTAATGAAAAATATTGCAAGAACAAAATCTCAGCTAATATAATACAATTTGCAAGACTTAAAAATGTCATGTATTCAGAATATTAACCTTACGTGATTTTTAATTACATGTCTCCAATGAATCATGCACGAATTTAAAGTAAATTGATTTGGTTGACTTTTCAAGTACAAATATAATTCGCTACTTTAAGTTCAACCAGTTGATCATATTCTATGAACGTAATAATCAATTCTAATATTTCTACTTAAAACTTTTAGGTGAATTTTTTTAATTTCGAAAAAAATAAACAAAATGTTCAGGGAAATAAAAATATATATCCCGTGGTAAATTTTTTGAATTTCGAAAAATTAAACAACAAAAATCTCACAAACAAGATTAAAATATTAGCTTTAAGGCACAACTCTTCCATGTAGGCTTGAGCCGTATTTGACATTCAATTCTCTTTTGCCTTTAAAATCAAAATGCCCCGTGACCTAAAACTCATTGAAACGGGACCCCTGAGCCAAAACAAGTGAACCCCTTGATAGATAAGAGAAACCTTATGCGGTTCATATGATGATACACATTCAATTTACAGATGCCAGAAAATTGGAAAGCTGGAGGTAACTGATCAATCCTCTTCATTGCTTATGCCTTCCCTAGAAATGCTTATTTCACGACCAATTGGGTATACGTGTTCCCATACCGAATCAAGCGATGCTCACATGTGAGGTTCATTCTTACGATCATCCCAAAAACCCTTGCACCGGGACTTTGTGTTCAGCTGGTCAATTAGAATCTGATCAACTTCGAAATATTATGTCAGAGTTGCTCCCTGAACAGAAGAAGTGTCTGAAGAGTGCAAGTTTGACATATGTGGTTGCTGCTGCGGCTGCATATGCTGCTCATTTGCAAGACCGAGAATCGCAAGCGTTGATCTACCAAAATGTATTAAGCAAGTTATAAATCACTAAAGCATGCCAGCATGAAAAGGCATGTGAACTCATGTTATAGAAATAAAAGACTTTTATAAAAGCTTGAACTATATGCAAATGATGCTTATGTTATTTTTTTACTTGAGCATTGTCCACAATGCCTTATTAACAGTAGATCGAATTTCTGAAATACTAGTTGAATCAAAAAGAAAAATCGAAGATGGTATTTTCTCTTTTTTTCTTTCCCAGTTTGCGGCACTGGGAAGGTTCTCGAGTAGAATCCAGAGAACTATACCTAGGCAGTGAACCTTTTATGTTTGGTTGGCTTGCATAAGAAGCTAGGGACCTCCTGAGGCTGCCATATTTATTCAGTGTGCTCTCAAGTTGCGACGGCGGCAACTGTAATCACCAAAACACAAAATGAAAGCTGTAAGCCTAAACATTATGACCAAAGAGTCAAAGGTTCTTTCAAATGCGCCAGGGAAAAGAGGGAGTTCATATGTAGTAGATCCTATTTTACCTGTAATAATACAGGAAATGAATGCGGTTGTGTCTGAACCACACACTTCAAGAACCCAACCCACAACTTCGGCATTCTCCAGATCTACACTCAACAAACAGACAATAATTTTAGTTGTCTTGCCCGGGATGCCAATTACCAGCCAGGGTATGCAGTTCTTTTCCGGGAGGCAAGTTCTTAATTAGACAGGTTGAATTACTAACCTGTTTACTCACAAGTTTGGATAGGATTTCCATGACAAAATCGACCTGGATACAACAGAAAATAGGTTCAGAAGATATGATTTCCAATTAAGTCAAGAAGGTAAAACTTGCACGAACATCCAAAAACAAATTGAAACAGACAGCCTAGTTTGTTACCCCGAAGTCAAACAAATTTAGTAGCAAAATGCGAATGAGATGAAAATATGGTTACTTACCAGGGTAGGAAAAGCATCAATTGCCTGAATAACAGTTCTCATGAAAAGTAACGGAAGAGGGACCTGATCAACCTAAATTGAGAAGGAAAGGAAAGCATTACTACATATACAAAGAATGGTATCAACCCCATATAAAATAGTGCATAACATACCAACTGATTCAAAGCCTTTACTAAGATCTGCTGTGTGAAAACTGTGCGCTGCTCGAAACAAGCTGAGCAAGCATCTGTTATCTGGAAAAATTTTAAAAGAACCACAGACATATCAGCTAGAGGGACCGTGTAGAAGAAAATACCACCACCTATTAACCTCTCGAAATGAAAATTGCTTTGCAGAATGTAGTGCTCCAAAGTTTACTTAGCAAAAGGGGAAAAAATGGTGGCCCGAGGTTTGATTACATCCTACTTGGTTAAATATTAAATTAATCTGCATGGGGAAGGGTGGAGCATACAATAAAATCAAAATAGCTCGTAAAACAGGAGAGAATAGATTTCTTTGATCAGGGAAACTATAAGATTCAATTATATAAACAACGCACCTTTTTGAGTGGAGGACCACCTTTTTCAGGAAGGATATCATGGATGGCTACCAATACTTCAGCCGGGGTCAAGGCAGGACCAGTGTGGGCTGAACCCTGAATGAAGGAAAGGAAAGGGAAACACTTCGAATTACAGTTTTGTCCCATCAATCAAAATTCTTTAAAGATAAGAAAATACATTGAAAAAGCGGCCATAAAACGAGACAACTTGTAGGCTACCTATACTAGTTCTTTTGCTTCCAATCTAAAGAAGAGACTGAATAGTGGCGTCTGGGTGCAGATGCAACAACATTGTGAAATATTTTTTTTGATAAAAGTTGGAGGTCTCATTAAAAACTCCCTTCGTATTCTTCCACATACTAAGTATGTTGAAGAACATTGGAAGGAAGAAAAGTGTCTCTCATAATTTATTAAATAGAACACCCATTACATGTGAAAACACAGAATACCCTCAGACGGGGATATACACCATTACAAAAAAACCATATCACCTAAAAATCAACCATCGTCAACCACAAAGCCCCAAAGACAATAACCCTATGTCTAAAATACACCTCAGTCAAAATGAAAAAACCAACGCAAAAGATCATAGCATAACAGAAAACCAACACTGTCAACAATGAAAACAAAAAGAAAAGCCTCTACATAGAGCTCCAGAACAGTTACGATCCAATTGAAGGAACCAATTCTAATGAATCATTGCAAACTTCAGGGACCCAAGAATTTGGTTTGAAGGAAGGATCAATTTCATGCACCATGATTCTGAAGGAATTAGTACCGACCTTCAACTCCAACGACTCATCAATTCTCAATTGAGACTTTGTGAGTATTTGAATTTTAGCCCGATCAAAAGACGATGGAAACTCGCAGCTGTCATCGATTGCTAATAATTTGCCCCACTTAGCTGCAATGTTTTTGAAAGTATCCCAATTCCAAGCGTGAAAAGGAATCCCTTCGCAAACTAATCACACTCGACGACACTCCACCACAAGACTCTCTGACCAAGCTTCAACTCTGGAAAACCATTTTGCAAGAGTCTCTAATTTTTCATTCTTCATAACTCTCAACGAAGCAAAGTCTTCAAAAACCATTAGAACTACATTTCCAGCAGCTCTCATTAACGTGAAACCAACGAGTCCTTTGAATTGCATTTGGCTAGCAAGATTACCGATTTTGGTAAAATTCTTGCACCAACCCACCAGACAGTTACTCAACACGTGAAGTTTATCTTCGTCCACAACACCCTCAACTTCACAGTGTTTAATCCTCGAAACAACTTCCATCCCAGACTTACGTTGAACAACTGTCGAGGACTTTCTCCAATAAGACTGTCGAGGATTATATTTGGCCAAAGAGACACTAATTTTGCTGCCGTAAATATGAGAACCATTCATCTTTGATATCGCTTTCCTTGCTTCTTCAATTGTTGCGAAGCGAATGAACCCAAAACTAACCCCTATGGAATTTCTTTTGTTAGGAATGAAGGCATCAATTACATGAGCGTGATTACAGAATAAATATCCAAGTCTCTTCCAATGGATCTTCTCTGGTAAGTTTTCAATGAATAACGTGAAGCATCCACTTCTGTACCCATTCCTAACATTTGTATGACCTTTCTTCCATTAATTACTAAAATTGATTCTCCCAATTCTTGCTTCTTCACCAGACTTGTTACCAGAACACCCCTTTGTGGTTCCAGCGTGGACAACATCTTCAGCAAGTTGAGCTGTTGATGCCTCTACTAAAGATAGATTTCCATTCCCATAATTCCTTCGTTGAGAAGGAGGCATACCTTCAGGCCTAGATTTATTAACCGCCTTTTTGCTGCCAAAAAAAGTCTCCTTATTCCCCGACGAAAAGTCCATTCGAGATCTCCTTATAAACCTGTCGCGGATGAAACGATCACGGCTCCCATATCTGTCATCCCTTCTGTCAAAACGGTCCCCATAACCAAAGCGTTTGCCATCATAACGGTCATCTATGTACTGATCACGATCTCTGAAACGATCACCACGGTCATCAACGACAGCACCTCTGTATCTTGAATGTGAAGAGAACATGGTGCCACTCCCACCTCGGCCACCACCATCTGGAGGACAATCACGGGCCC